ATTACTTAGGTTAGTTAAGAAGTATAATAACTTTAATATAGTAAACGTAATGTCTAGCCTAAGTATAATTATAGTATATAATATGTACTAAACTAACTCTTTCATAATATACCTTAATCTATTACTTTATCACCTTACCTTCGTTCTTAACTAGCTCCTCTAATAGTAGTAGAGTTAGCGGAAACTACTAACTATCTAGACTAAACTTCTTCGCGATCTTATTAATATATACGTTATAGACTAGTATAATCTTTTAATTAATATAGTTTCTTATTACGCGCACTCTTAAGAACTACTCTATTAGCTCTTAATTCTACATCTTATACTTTAATATAATACGATCTTATATCTATATAGCTCTTTACTTATTATTCTTATAATATACAGAGAGGTGACACAAGTAAAACGTAATTAAACAAGTTCTAGTTTTTAATCTATTATAACTTTAGATCCAGCCTAGCTAGAACTAAACTAATAAGTGCCCTGAAGAGCTACAATCTAGGAGATTAAATTAGGCCACTAGCTTTTTGCTTAGTAAGCAGCTAACTAAGAATATATAGGGTTAAAACAGACGTTATTAAAAATCGATTATTAAAGCTTATATAACATTTTAATAGACGTATAGATTTTACTAAAGAGAATATGTGTAAGTATATCCTTAGTAAACATCACGTGACTTAATTTTCACGTCAAGTTTCTTAGTTTGTTAATTCAATATCTTTAATATAAAAACCTAGCTATAGATTACGTAATAAATATTACTAATCTAGACTAGTAGCTAGATAGTATATCTTAATCTCTACTTAGTTCTAAATTCTAGTCTTCTAAGTCCTCAAAATGGCTCCTAAATTTTCTAAATGAGAAACTGAAATCTCTCGTTTACTTAACGCAAAAATCGGTTCTAAAAATATAATTATTACCCTTAATAAGTCTCCTAAGACTATTTACAACGCTATTTATCGTATTAAGAAGAAGAAAAAACTAAAAATCCAACTAGAAAGAGCTAGTAAAGGCCGGGTTTCAAAGACTTCAACTAGAGCTAAAAGAGCTATTAATAGGGACTTAACTCGGAGTCCTAAGAAGCAAAATAAAAGACTATTAGTTGAAAATAGTCTTAATATATCTACTAGAATCTTATAGCGGCTTTTAAAAGATGAAGGATATAGCTGTAATATAGTAAATAAAAAGTCTATTTTAAACGCTTTTAAAGCTAAAAATAGGCTTATTATTGCTAAGGAGTAGTTAAAGGATATTAAAAATATTAATTTTACGAAGATTATATTCTCAGATGAGTTAGTAATCTAGCGTGGACACGGTTCTAGGAACGAGTATTACCGAAAAAGTACTTAAAATAAAGCTGGTAAAGAACTAGTCTCTACTAGGAATAAAAGTAAGTTGAAAAATATTCCTAATAGGCTATTTTATTTAGCTTTTTATCTAGTTTTTTAAATTTAATTTAGTTCTCTAGTAGCTATTTAGCTAATAGAAATCTAGCTCGGGATATATCTATTTAAATCTGGGGAGCTATTTAGATAGGTAGACGATCTGATTTAGTTGTTATTAAGACACGAAAAACAACTATAAACTTTAATAATCGCTACTATATCCGTAAAACTCTAATACCTTAAGTTAAACCTAATATTAAACGCGGTAAGTTATATAGCTTTTTTATATCATCTTTTTAGTTTATTTTTCTCCCTGCGCTAAGATAAGTAATCATTAAATAATATAAACTATAATAGATACTAATAGCTATATAGAGTGGCAATTTTAGCAGAATAACTCTAAAATCTATACTACAAAGAACGTTTTTGCTTAGTTTTTAAGAAATAAAGTCAAGCTTTATCCTCATCCACCCTATAGTCCTGATTTAAATCTAATAGAAAACGTGTGGAGTTTACTTAAAGACCGTCTTAGTAAACGTCCATTTGGATCTTTAGGCCTAGATATTAATAAAGAGAGTATTAATAGCTTTATTAAAGCTATAAAAGAGAAGTAGTAAGCTTTATCACAATAGAATATAGATAATTATATTTTATTACTACCTAGGCGTTATAATACTATAGTAGAAGCAAAGGGCTGGTATATAAAGTATTAGATAGTATTAATATCTCATTATATCCAAAAATGCTTTTTTTCTTATTCTCTACTTAGTAGAAGATTTTAGTAAGAAAGTATAGCTTATAATCTAGGATGTTATATACTAATAGAAAAATTATATTATATATAGCTTATAGCCGATTTTGTACACCTATTATTAAGTACATTTAAGTGTTAGTTAGCGTTTTATAGTACTCTAAGTTTAACTTTAAATAATATCTATAAACTGCTGACTAAGCAAAAGTTTAGTTCCTTTACTTAATCTTATAGATCGCAGCTTTTCAGAGCACGAACCTGTTAAGTCTTAACTAGTCTAGATCTAAAGTTATAATAGTTTAAAC